AGGGGTCTAGGTTCAAACCCTAAACCCTAAACCCTAAATCCTCGACCCTAAGCCCCAAATCCTCAACCCTAGACCCTTAACCCTCAACCCTAAACCCTAAACCCTAAACCCTAAAATCCTCAACCCTAAACCCTAAACCCTAAATCCTCAACCCCAAACCCTAAACCCTAAATCCTCAACCCTAAACCCTAAACCTGAGGGGTTGAGGACTGAAGGTCAAACGGTGACCCCTGGGGAATCTGAAGCCCTTGACCTCACTTTGTGAGTTTCTCAAAAAATGGGGGGGTTAGGGTTTAGGGTTGAGGGTTGAGGGTTTAGGGTTTTAGGGTTTAGGGTTCAGGGTTCAGGGTTTAGGGTTCAGGGTTTCAGGGGAGGCGAGGCACGTAGGTATTGTACCGTGGGTGTTCATGAAGGTTTTCGGGAGGGGAGGGGGGGGAGGGGGCGGGGATAAGTCTCACATGTCAACTTGATTCCGGGCGTATTGGCCTGTGGTGTTTGGGGCCACCGGGCTCTTGCTGAGAATGTCCGAATTTCATTATACAAATGCCATGACTGCCAGTGTTCTGAAGGTCAAACATTCTCACCGAGAGAAACACCACGGGCCAATACCACCGTCTGACCCCCTAGGTGCCCAGGGATGATGAGGGGATCCAGCGGTCCGTACCAAGTAAAAGTTCTGTAAGGATCCTTTCGAGAAGCTCTCCTACAATCCAGCGAACATGGGAACCCCTCAAAGGCCCTATAGAGACTGCAACCCTAAATTAAACAATAGGGAAGTCATGTCAAACGGAGGCCAAGGAATTTGGGGTTTCCAGTTTAGGTTGTGGGGTTCAGGGCTTTGAGTTCAAGGTTTCCCTAGTCCACGCATCAAACACAGCCAGGTTGCCTGCGCTTCCTGTTCTTCATCTGGTTGATCCTACCTAAGTCCAAGGTTGGACAGAAACAAAGCAAGGACTGTTGCAGCAACATTGCCAAAGGAAGCACTAAGACAACTGTCCGAAAGGAAAGGTTTAAGTTCTAGGCCTTCTCTCAACTCTAAACTCTTAACCCTAAACCAACCCGTCAGTTCATGATGTGCCAACAGTTGAACATGTCCAAAATACGACCGCGCTGGCCCCTTCGCCCCTTGGGACCACCTCCCTCCACATGACGATGACGCACCTGAACAGTGCAAGGATAAAAGTAATAGCAATACTAATGGTAATAGTAATACTGATAATAATAGCACCACTAATAGTAAGAGAAGTGATTAGTAAGCTTAAGGTTACGGGTTTGGGGACCAGCCAGGTTGTAAGGTTGAAGTTCAAGGCTTAGGGTTTGGGCGGGCTTCTTGAAGGTCTTGTCTAGTAGAGTGA